GGAGTTTTAGCACCAGGAAAACGGCAAGCCAGAGGAAGCAAGAAAAAACATCATAAGAAATATAAGAAAATGTTAGGGACCAAGATCTTCAAAGATCAAGACTTTCAAGAAGGTCAAAAACGCAAAACTGACAATCCAATTAGTTTAAAGCAGAATTCCACGCCGCTGACGTGACGTGGGCTATAACAATGGAAGCACCTCACAGCTGTCCTGACGGCTGTCCAAAGACATGCGTTCCTTGTTAGCAGTGCTGGTTTTTGTGTTTTTTCTATGTTTTTCTTAAGCAAGCAGTTGCCTTTAGTATGGGTTAGTGAACTTGTGGGTCAGATATGCACGTACCGTCTTGATCCCAAGGGTGTCAGAAATTGCATCGAAGACATGCACCCGCCAGAGTTCAATCCCAAGTACGGGATGTGGAGCAACTGAGATGCAATGAAGACCAAAAAAAAGTGTAGAGAAACTATTTTGACTTTGCAAATGACTTTCCAGACAGGTTGGGAACTTTTTAATCTTGTTGCTTGAATTTTGCAAACAGCCCAGTCGCTCGATGCAAATGGTATAGCAACCGACCATCCTGGCACTATACGTACTGGGATGACGAGCAGTGCTTCAGACGGCAATATGTTTCAACTTGCTCTGACATGACTTTTGACTTTTTGGCACCCAACTTGATCATGAAATTTAGGCAACTACTGCTATTGCTCAGAAAAGACGTGGTTGTTGGGACGCACAAGCCCAAACTCAGATGAAATTTGATTTCAAGTCTTGCTCAGGGAGACATGGAATTGGACGCTTGAAATCAGCCGTCTTGCCAAGAAAAGAGCAGTCCGGGCCCAAATTAAAATCAGTTGGGTGACCTTGTGACCTGACCAGCAATATTGCTGTTGGAAGTTTGCAGCGGTTTGGTAGCATGTTTGTTAGAGGCAGGTTTTGAGACGCTGTGAGAATCTTTGCCTTACAGACTCTGCTTCTTCCGCAGCCTACTGCATTTCGCAGAGCAGCTTTGACAACCGCTGAAGCCATGGTGATCATGCCAAAGGGACTTGACACTACGACCGGGGTAGAGGAGACGAAGTACCTTTGCTCCAAAAGTTTCAATTAGCTTCCTAGCAAAAGCACATATTTTTTTAGAACATGTGTGATATTGTTATGCTCACGGCGTGTGCAGTTTAGTCACTCTATGCATGTTTGATCATGTCTGTGTTATTCTCCAGCGTGTGTGACTGTTGAGTCTGGGTAGAATTTCATAGAACTGCCAAAAGAATGCGAGAACATAAATGAAGCTCATACTTCCACCTGGGTGTTCTATAAAATGTGTGACCTGACCCTGTGAGATCATATAATATCATATGGGTGTAAATGAACAATCTAAATTTAATACATACATACATATATAGAGATATATAATATATATTATATATTTTCATGTCTTGTAATTTCATTGTAATATGTGATTGCAGTGGGTTGGGCATACTCAAAATATAGAGGGCAAGGGTCCTCAGATTTATGCTCCATCTCAGGTGGTTCAAAGCTGAGAGGCACAAGGCATTCCTCATCCATCTAGCATTTATGCTTGCCTCAGAAGGCCTCTTGACATGAACCTTTCTATGACTTGATAGAGATTGAAGATTGAGATATATAGAAGATGTCAGACATATCGTGATCGCTGGCTGTGCCACCAGTTGGAGACACAGTATGCCATTGCCTGGATGCATTCGGTGCATCCAAGAGTGTGTCGCAACTTGCCTGTACTTCGTCCCTCTCAGATTTTTTTTGGTGGGTGATGTCAAGCGCTTTCTGCATGCTGTATGTTCATGATTTTTCATCTGTTTTCATTAGTCTCAAATTGCTGCCGTGTTCTGTCGTCGCAAGGTCTTGTTTCCAACGAGCTCACTTCAAGGCCGAACCCTATGACATTATGCTTTGCGACAGCCATGACCTGACCACTTTCGAGGGTGTTGTGCAGCTTATGCGCATGATCCTGGCGTTTCTGGACTTGAAGTTTTTTGAACCTGCTTCAACATTGAGTGATGCTTATGCATGTGCTAAACTTGATCATTTAGATTTGCGCTCACCGCTTCGATTCAGGTTGACTTGGCAAGGCATCCTAGTATGCGGTCCTCCTTGCTCATTGTTTGTACAGGCATGCGTCTCCGTGCACCGTAGAACAAAGCAGAATGTTTGGGGAAATTTGAATAATTTCCGTGTCCGATGTGCCAATCGCATTTGGATCAACTTTGCTTCTTGGCTTAGCTGTCATTTAGCGCATTTAGTGTCTAGTCTAGTGTGCTGCATTTTTTGCATTTCACATCATTTCACACTATAACTTTATTATGAAATATATAAAGGCCAAGACCAACTGAGGCTGAAGTATTGATGGCCATCTACAGGCGCACTAACTATGCATCATTCAAGAAGCTGATTGTGTCATGAGGGTTTGGTTTGTTTGTTTTACTGTCGCGCACGGCGCAGGGTTCGTACAGATCTCCGGCTGCTCATTGAGCAACCATCTTCAAGCTGGGCATTTAAGCTGCCGCCCATGAAAACCATGTCCAAGATGTGGGGCCTGTGTCTCGGCTAATATCTGATGATCCATTCGTCTACTTCATCGCAATCCCAGGAAACCTTAAGTCTTTTTGAACTTTGAACGTCTCAGGAAAAAGATTACTACCTGGATGGGTTTGTTCTCCCACGACTTGGCGAAGTGCACACACCTGTTGGTTTCATGGAGGATCTTTGCGCTTTTGATTTTGTGATGTGTTATTTTTGGTTGTTGTGTATTTACGCCCGTGAGTGAATCTGGTTGTTGCAGGGCTGGCGAGAGTTTGGCCAGACGTATGACAGCCGTCAAGAAACAGGAGATTAAGGACTCAACGTTGCTTTACAGTGTCTCTTGGGTGCGTTGCTTTTCGGATCTTTTCGGGATATCTTGTCTTGTGGATATGTTTGCCTGTTTATCCTGTTTAGGACCGGTTGGTGAAGCGCAACAGTAAGAGGAAAACACCTAAGGCAGGTCAATGTGTTTCATCATAGTTCAAATGGCCCATGTGTGTCGGCAGGTGTACTATCACCAACAGGGCGATGGGCGATGGTGCGGCGGGAAGGATTTGGCTTCCTCGGCCGCTTATACCGGTGTCTTCTGCCGTGCCATTTTAAGGGCATGGTTGGCTGGAAGGGAAGAAGAAAGCCAGCCATAAAGTTTCAACTTGCATTTTTTCCAAGCGCCATGATGCTTGAACGTGGCCATGGGTTGAATGGCTGAAGTGTGGCGAACGCCAAAAGTTCCAGACCGCTTGGGATGTACAGTGGTCTCAATCTATATACCATTATATACCTTTCATGATCTTCAGTGATCTTTTATGCCAAAGATGCCAACGTGATGCTACATCACCTAGCAGAAACCTTTTCGCAACCCTGCGAAGAGCACGTCTCGGAAAAACGCTTTTCAGCGTGTGTCCAATTTTGTTCTGACATGTTTTGACCAAAAATTTGAGCACTTGTCGTACTATGGCTTGATCATCGTATGTTTGCCGTTTGCCGCTTTGTATATACATTTGGTGTTGTATGGAAGCCTCAGGCCACAGCTTCCAAAACCAAATCTTCGAAGACAGAGATTCCAGCCAGTGGAGGCGTTCTCACACCCGATTTTTCTTTTATCTACAGCCATACTAATGACATCAAATGACATCTAATGAACATGCATACCGTAGCGCGACAGACTTGGATGTGGAATGCTTTGGAGTTTTTGCAGGAATATGTAGGAACATGTTTGTCAGGCCTGGTTGTCAAGACAGAGAAGGCCAAGGACAAGACTATTCAGGAACCTTCATCAGGAGCGATATGGTTTCCTGCATGTTTTCAGAGATTATACGAAAGTATGGTTCTTGATGTGGTCAGGTTAGTCATTTTATATACAGAGATGGCCTGCTAAAAAGGTTGAGACTGTTTTTGGATATCATATGTGTTCATACCTTTTTTAAAACATGTTGAAATACCTGCCAGGAGAGGGAAATGCTGGATCAAAGGGAGACACAGCT